TCCTGCATGGACCGTCCACCCTTGTCTCTACAAGTTCTCCCAGGCAGAAGCATCCCAGCTGGCTGCCCCCTCCCCAAACAACTTCCTTCCCTCCAGAGTCTCCTCTTGCATCAGCCCCCCTCTCCCACTTGGCTGTGATACATGGAACAACTGTAGATGGTCTCCAGTGGTGGGATTCAAATAATTTAACAACTGGTTCTCTGCCCTAATGGCCAGATGGGTGGGTGTGGCCAGGGGTGTGTGACAGGCAGCACTCGACCTCCTGTACTCCCCTGGGAGCAAAAACGGGCTGTGGGGGGGCATGACTCCCACACGGCCCGTTTTGGGCCTAGGCAGCCTTCCTGAAGCCTCCCTGCACTTACCTGGGAGCCAAAATGGGGCCCTTGGGGAAGGGGCGGGGCGGGAAGAGTGAAGCCAGCCAGCAATTTAACTACTGGTTCACCTGAACTGGCCCGAACGGGCTGAATCCCACCTCTAGTCAGAAGGCTTTTTGGTGTACCCTGCAGTGGGCTGGTCTCCTCCCTTTCTGTCTTCTGCAGAGAACAAAGGATCTCCTGCCACCAGTCATTTCTCTCCCATGGTTTGACAGCTCTGAATGAGGAGGTGCCCTGTTTACAGACCATCTCTGGGGAACCTTTCTTTGCTTCTTTGAACGTTCCTTCTTTGTTTCTGCTTCTCGATTCCCTGGTGGTTGGGGATACTCCAGGCTGCATAAGGGAGAAAACTTGGAAATGCTGCTCAGGGGCTTCCCTTCCTTTCCCTCTTCTTTGCTTTCATGTTTTAAAAAATAGTAGTGCAAAGGGGGAAGGAGATCAGGCTGCTGCATTTCAACACAAGGAGGCAACACAATGCGTTTGCTTAGTTTGAGTGGCCTTTACACACAATTATGAGAAAATACAGGGCCTCCCTCCCCTTTTCAACTAGCCTGTTCTCTGTTTGGAACAGATTTTGCTTGGAAAAGCTGCTTGTCCACTACATGAATGTAAACCATCAATAAGTAAAACAAAGCAGTGCAAACAGAATTGCCGAGACATTCTGATAGAATTGAAACTGACATGTTTCCAAGGCTCGCCAAAGTAAAGAGCATTGGGGAACGAAGGTCTTCAAAACAATATGTTTGTTTGTGTGTGTGTGTGTGTGTGTGTGTGTATGAATGCAGATGTGATCTACCCAGTAGCTGCTTCCTCGCGGCATCTTCACTTGAGGAGCCATTAGAGGAAGATGATTTCCTTTTCGCCACCCGAAGGCCCCCAGGCCTCAAAGGCAGCTGATACTTAAATAAATAAATAAAAGTAGTTTATGTTAGCAAGCCATGAAAACTTCCCAAAACGGGACCCCCAAGGCTGGCTAGGGCGGCTTGGCCAAGCTGAGAAGGGCAGGCTCAGCTCAGGAGGGGGAAGGGAGATTAGAAAGGCAGGTTGCCTTTCTCTTTGAGAAATTGAGAAGGATGGGAACCCAGTAATTTATCCAAGAGATCCTCAGGATAACTTGAGATGCCTCGGATGTCTTTTGCAGCTGCAGAGGTTGGGCTGCCTTGCGGGGTGGAGAGAGAACCTGCCCTGTGCATTTTGTCAACCCTTCGGGCTTCCCCAAATAGCCGCAAATGCCGGGTTGGGGGGTGGGTCACTGAAAAGCCCATCTCAGGTGAGAGGCAGCCTGTTTTCTAGACTTCTCCTATTGATGTCTGTATGTGTAATCCTCAATTTACTTGTTTAGTGACCATTCGAAGTTACAAGACTGAAAAAAGTGACATGACTTTTTCACACTTATGACCGTTGCAGCTTCCCCAGGGTCACATGATCTAAATTCAGATGCTTAGCAACTGGTTCATATTTATGATGGTCGCAGCGTTCAGGGGGTCACATGATCCCCTTTTGTGACCTTCTGACACGCAAAGTCAATGGGGAAGCCAGATTCACTTAACAATGGTGTCACTAACTTAACAACTTCAGTGATTCACTTAACAACGAAGGCAGGAAAGGTCGTAAAATGAGGCAAAACTCACTTAACAACTGTCTCGCTTAGCAACAGAAATTTGGGGCTCCATTGTGGTCGAGGACTACCTGTACACAGTCTGTGTCTGGAAGCTGGGAAAGATCCTTTTGGCACAAGGAGCTGTGTGAGGACCGTCTGCGAGTCTTATCCTCAGGGCCACACAATAGCCGAGAGGCTCACCAGAAGTGATGCCCTGTGCCTGGGCTGGAGGGGAGTTTCTGGACAAGGGCTCTTGGCATCAAGGAAGCACCCTGGATGGATGCAGTCATGATCCAGGGAAAGACAGCCTCCCTGGGTGGAGTATTGGTAAGAGTATCAGTCACAGTCCAATCAGAGATGTGTGAACTGGGCAAATCTGTATTCCTCCTCGGTCTCTCCTCCCCTGCACGAAATGCCGCAAAGCCTCTAAGCTGCCATATGGATTCTCTTGTTTAGCATCACATGAAAAGGCCATCATAACTGAATTGACTATCTCCTGGGGTGGATGCTCTGCTCTGCTGAGCTGCTACGGTCTGACGTGCTCTCCCCTCTCTTCCCACCGGCCTCTGTTTGGCTGCCAGCAGGAGGAGACGCAGTGCCAGGCAGCCTCTGCGTTGCACACTTCTGCTTCCTTGCCCCTGCCCAGCAAAGTCTGCAGGCCGATCGAGCTCCCTTGTGAACGAAATGGCTTCCCTTCGCCACGGTCAGCCTGGTGGCAAGAACGGCCTGATCGATCGATCGATCGATTGCTGAGATGGCGCCGCACTCCCAATCTGCCCTGGGTGGCTCAGCTAGTCCTTTGCAGACATCTGGAGGGCAGCCCTAGGCCCCAAAGAGGGCTGGCTGTGCCAATTCTGGCATTTGCAAGAGGCGTCTTTACGGCTTTGAACTGGGAGAGCCAAGCTCATTTTTTATGCATTCAGCCTTCGCAGTATATGCATTTTCATCTGCATTTCCTCCTCGACCGATGTTCGCTTACAGTACCGGCCACAGGAAGCTTGCACATGTTGGCTGCACCATGTATAACATTTTAGTCCTTTTCCGCTCTTGTTTTCATGTACGTTTAATTGCTTTGGTTTAGTGCAGGGGTGTCAAACTCGATTTCATTGAGGGCCTCATTAGGGTTGTGTTTGACCTCAGGGGGCCGGGATGGGTGTGGCCAGAACGGGCATGGCCTACTCGATGTCACTCATGTCGGGGGCGCCAGTGGCAGCCCAAGTGCTCTGCCAGCAAAATGGGCTCCTGAGCTCTGTTTCCGGCTGCAACGGCCTCCTGAAACCCTCTGCCAGTGGAAATGGAGCGACCCTCCTGAGCTCCGTTTTCACTGGCAGAGGGTGCAGGACACAGTCGCAGCCGCAAATGGAGCTTGGGAGCCTGTTTTTGCTGGCAAAGGCACCATGGGTCAGTCCCTCACTGTTTTCAGGGTGGCCCCATGGGCCAGAACTAAGCACTCTGTGGGGCAGATCCGGCCCATGGGCCTTGAGTTTGACATCCCTGGTTTAGTGGTTTTACCAAGTATTTTACAATATTTATAAAAGTGGTTTTATAATATATTGTTTTATTGCATGCCACCCTGAGTCCTTTTCCTTGGGATGGGGGGAGGGGTCATATAAACTCAATAAATAGGATTGGGTTTTTTTTAAAAAAAATTAAGCATTACCATGGTGGCTTGTGTGGTAAGATGCTGGGCTTGTGCACCACTAAGGTCTGCAGCTCGGCGGTTCGATTCCCGGGAGCGAACAAACTGCGTAGGGACAAGAAAGGAGCCTCCCCCGAATGCCAACCAGCATTCAGGTGTCCCGCGGGTAAAAGGTAACACCACCCCAAAAAATTCCTTTCACTGAGGCAGCCAGCTAACTCGGTGATCTCTGGCTAACATGTGCCATACACTAAAAATAAATAAATAAATAAAATAAAATAGGTAAGATGGTTGTCCCTCTGCTCTGGGCACAGGAGTAACTGGGGTGGTAAAAGCCCACAGATCCATCGTTGCAGATGTGGAGTGAATCTGGATGCCCAATGAGCAGGTCACTGATACCACCATACCAGAAGAAACAGATTGTGGCACTTGGGGATTAGCTCTGCTTCTGAATCACCCAGGAATTGTAGGTCTCTCTGGACAAATCAGTGATTTGCAATGCTGGTTAAGTGCAGAAGGAGAGCCAGATGTTTTGAGTAATTTGTCAGCAGATTTAAGCGACCAACTCACTCCAGAGTTTGTGGTTTAGGGATAATCCGAAGACCAGTCTCTGCCTCTTGTTTCCTTATTGTTCCTGGGCACAAAGGGCTGAGTCTGGATTAAAATGAATCTGCTAAAACTGTTCTTTGGATGATGATGATGATGATGAATAACAACAACAACAACAACAACTTTATTGTCATTGTACGTGTATACACAGTATACCCATACAACAAAATTCACTTAACACCCAAAGACCAGGTCCAACACACATAACAATCCCAAACACCCACCCACTCACCACAAATTCCCCACCCCTAAACCACCCAAAGTAGAGTAACAAACAAACAACTTGATCTTACCGCATCCCTTGGGCCCCTTTCCTCAATCTCCAAATGTCTTGGATTACAGTTCCCATCCATCTTGGCTGTGGGCCATGGTCACTAGAGTTAGCAAAGGCCTCCGCAGAGTCTGACTTTGCTTGCCACTAATTCACACAGATGAATGGATTTCTCTGCAAAATCCTTCATGAATTTTGCGGAGCAAAATCTTGCAAGGTCTATTTTTACACACACGCACACACGCACACACTCCATATAAAGTTGAGGGATAATCTTGTTACATTTGTAAATTAAACAAATTCATCTTATTTTTTAAAAGACAGGAAAACAAATTACTTTTGCCATAAAATCCACATTAAATGCAAAATCAGGATGTGAGCCTCAGGAAATGCAGTAAACGATCTGGCAGGGATAACATGGGGTACCCCAAGGATTATCCCTAAACCGGACTGAAGACACCTCACGAGCCCCCCCATTAACCTGCATCCTCGCTTTTCTCGTTGCAGTTTGTTGCTTCGTTGTCCACAAGAGGTGCCATGAGTTTGTTACCTTCTCCTGCCCGGGGGCCGACAAGGGACCTGCCTCCGACGTGAGTAAACTCAGCAGAGCTGGCTGGAAGGACGGAGGGAACGGTTGAGGGGCGACAACTAAAGAGGGCCAGCCTGGGGTTGTGGTTGACACCATGGAGCCCATTCCCAGCTGGGGATGCTCGGGGGTGCTTTCCCTGGAGGGAAAGTGGGTGTGTAATTTATATGATCTAAAGGCAGAATGTACGTGGGTAAAGCCAATTGGCTCCATTAGGAGATCTAAAAAAAAAAAATCAAAATTGCACATTTCGTGTGCTTTGATTTGAACAGGAGGAAAGTTCACTGCAGACTTGAATGTTCAGTCCTTGAACAGCCTTTGCAGCTGGTGTCCTTAATTCCATTTAAGTACTCTGTGTGTGTGTGTGTGTGTGTGTGTGTGTGTGTGTGTGTGTGTGTGTGTGTGTGTATTTTAGCTGCAAAAAATAAGGGAAGGCTAAGCCTGGAGAACAGAATTGAGGCCTATCCGGGATCACGACACCTGGTGAATTTCAGCCCCCCCCCCAACTATCTTAATTTACAGGTGTGTCTGCAGAGGGAGGAGAGTCCTGATGTTTAAAAGACAGGGGGGATTTGATCACATGGTCCTGGGCATCAGTGTGATATTCTTGCCGCCAGCCCCTTTAGCCCATTCGCAGCTTGTTGTCCCCGGATATACTTTCTACATTCTAGGTTTGGTTTTTAAAATACTGTTTTGAGTACAAGCCAGGCTGAAAGGCAGAGTCCACTTTTCATGCCAAAAGGATCTTCTCTGCTCAGGGGCTGTTTTCCTAACCCCCCTCCTCCATTTCCTGTGGAACCCACCTGCCATGCTTGGGAGGGGTCTGCAGGATATGACCAAACAACCCAAGGTGCAGGAGTGAAATGCTCCCGGTTTGGACCAGATCGCCTGATCTGGTAGCAATGGAGGCGGGTGGTTCAGAGAACCGGTAGCAAAAATCCCTGCCCCCCTCCATGCCCAGCTGAGCTGCACAATCATCAGATGCTTTTTTTTTTCTTTTAAAAGCATTTTTTTCTACAACCTCTTCAGGCCGAAAAAATGCTTTTAAAAGTAAAAAAAAAAAAAAGCCTCTGATGATCGTGCGGCTCAGCTGGGATCATCAAAGGCTTTTAAAAGGAAAAAACCCTTTTTTTCTTTTAAATGCCTCTGACAATCCAAGCTGAGTTGCCTGATCGGCAGAGACTTTTTTTGTTTTAAATGCCTCTGGCGATCAGGCAACTCAGCTGGGATCATTAAAGCCTTTTGAAAGCATTTTTTTACAGCCTCTTTGCCCAAGAGGCTGTAGAAAAAATGGTTTTAAAAGTTTTTTTAAAAAAAAACTGGCCACACCCACCCAGTCACATTACCCCACCACCACCAAGCCACGCCCACAGAACCAGTAGTAATAAATTTTAGATTTCACCACTGCCAAGATGGAGCCATGATTTGCAATGGATGGTTTGATCCACGTGCTCGTGGCAACCCATCTCTGGGAGAGCAACGAAAGAGGATTCTTCCAGCTGACTTGGAAAATGCCCAATTGCAAAACTTGTCAAACTTGTCAAAAAGGCAAATTAAACATTCAGAGTTTTGAAAGTTTAGGAGGAAATGCAAAATACGTTTGGAGCCAAACCCTCCCATTTTTCTCCTGCCATACTCCAAACGCTTATACATATCTATAAATGATACCTCGGGGCCCTTTGAGCTAGAAACCCAGCAATTAATTTAACAATAAAAACACAGATTCTGCTTTCAGCAGTCTTTAGAAAATCTGGAGAGGATCCACATTCTGGGCACCAAGCAAGGCAAGACACACACACATACACACACTCTTTGAAGCGATGTGCTGTCAGTGGGGGAGAGCTAATTTCAGAGGCTGCCACTGTGATTGATGGGGAGGTGCTGATGAGCCTCTGTTCTCCCTCTATTTTTAGTCTCTTTGGTGATGAGCAGACCAAAATACAGCCAGATGATTGTCCTCGCAGGCCAGCTGCCAGGCAGGTGTGGAGAAGGTCTTTAAAATGTTGACCGAGGTGGGCTGTCTGAGGCCTCCACCTCTCTCTCCACCACTTGTCCCTTTCCCACCTGGAAGTGGGGAGTTGGTGGGGGGGGAAGAGAGTTTTCCCCCTGCAGTTCTCTTCCTTCCCCTCCTGCTTACTTGATCCTCCATCTTGAGCAGATTAGGGGATCCTTCAAGGGTTTCAGGAACTCTGTGCTGGATATGGGGATGGTACTTGAAGGATGTGAATGATGGTTATGGCATTTCTGACTCTTGAATCTTGCCTTGCACACACATACCCCTCCTCTCCCTCTCTCTCCACCTCCTGGCCTTGAGACAGATGCTGCCACTCTCCAATGTCAAGATGCTTCTGGGTCATCGGATGACGGGTCCTCCACTGATCCGCCCCAGGCCACCTTCCATCAGAGCGCGGCATCTCTGATGCTCCGTGAGGCCGCTCTGCTCAGTTCCTCTGGGGAAACCTCTTCTGTTGACTGGAACTGCTCCATTCCCCATGGGCCAGCTAGTGGGGTGGAATGCAGTCCTCATTTCCAGCAGGCAGGGAAGGAGGCGTTCCAGAAGACCAAGCGAGAACAAAGCTTAGATAGCTTGTGTGGGAGAAAGAGAGTCAAGATGGCTCTTCCCCAAGAGTTCTCAGAGTATATTTATCGGTGCAAACATTCTGTTTCAGTTTGGCAAGTTCTCTGTCTAGAGGTGAGGAAGAATAAAACAAACTGCTTAGAAGAAACTCAACGTGTCTTGCTTGGCCTTTGGAGCCTGACAACAGGTTCCAAATCTGAATGAGGGCAGACAACTGGGGGTCTCCAGAGTGCATCTCCCACCATTCAGAGGGCAGAACAGCCGCATGCTGGTTTGGGGGCAAAGATAGTGGGTTATGGCCGGCTTTGATGGGGAAAAGAAGGTCTCATTGCTTCCCTACTCAGAAATAGCTGCCCGCCTTACTTCAGAGAAGTTGTGTGCTCTTCTAATGCCTATAGAGGGATGAAAAGGGGCATCCTGCAAGATTGGGAGATACAATAGCAAGAAGACCATCAAGTGCAGGAGAGCAAATCAAATTTTTAAAAGGGCAAGAGAAGATGGATTTTTTTCTCTCTTGACCCTAAGGTCACAGCAAGCACAAGAGTGAACATGCAAAGAGATTAGGAGGAATTTCCTACTGGTAGAAACTCTATAAGGCTTGGAACTGTTTTTGTAGTGCAGTAGCATCTCTCAACCTTGGCAGCTTTCAGATGGGTGGACTCCAACTCCCAGCTTTCTGGCTGGGGATTCTGGGAGTTAGAGTCCATCCATCTGAAAGCTGGTTGAGAGGTGCTGGCCTAAAGCAAAAGTGGATTTCTCTTTTCCGATTTTTTTAAGATGAGGCTGGAGGGCTACTGGTTGGGGAGAGTTTAGCAGAGTTTATCCAAGTTTACCTAGCCATATAACTTTATATGGGAGCTGGGTTTTTTTTCCTGTTTTCCTTTTGATACTTACATACAAGTTTAGTCCAGTCTTCAGTCCAGTTTAGTTGGAGCAAAAGAAACAAATCTTTGTTTTGGTGGTGCAGTGGTTATAATGTAGTGTTGCAGGCTACTTCTGCTGCCTGCCGGCTGCCTGCAATTTGGCAGTTCAAATTTCACCAGGCTCAAGGTTGACTCAGTCCTTCCGAGGTGGGTAAAATGTGGACCAAAAAAGATATATTATATTAATTAAAAAAATTGTTGGGGGCAATATGCTGACTCTGTAAACTGCTTAGAGAGAGCTGTAAAGCACTGTGCAGTGGTATATATGTCTAAGTGCCATTGCTATTGCTATACTTATATTTGAAGAAAATGAAAGAAGAAAAATCATGTCATATTTATATGTTGCACATCAAGAAATAGCAGTTTCATACATATGTGAATATTCATGTTTTCAATATTTCCTTTAAGGCAATATCACAGGCAACTTCAGTTAATGAATTTACATCTGATATAGTCAGTGGTATTTTTCTCATCTTGGGGGTTAATGATAAATGGGCTGTTAATGTATATTTTTTCAGAAGGAAAATATTCATTTTCCTTCATTTGATATAAGTTCATACAGAAATCATATCTCATGTATTAGTTTCACCATATTTCTCCTGTAATTCAGTTAATGTTGAAAAAAAGATTTAATATTTCTCTTGTCAACTTGCTTTCGCCATAAACAAACTTTTCAAATTGTTACTTCAACTTTTTTGTGAACTTTAAGAACACTAATTTTATTGCCTTGTAAATCTAGTTTTAGGTGATTTAAAAGTCAAAATATGTCAAGGAAGCCACCATTGTTAGCCAGTCAAATTCAAGAAATCTATCTTTACTTTCAAATAGAACATCTTTTGCTGACGGAGGATGTCACTCTAAGAACAAAACAGCTTCATCTTTCGTTTTAAAGAGTTATTTTAAAATGCTTCCTTTTGATAGTCATCAAACCCCAGAGCTCGTGGTTACTCCCTAATTATTTGTACAAAGCAGTACAATTTCTGCCGTGTAAAGGATGAGATTTTGTGCAAGTCAAAACAATCGCACATTCCTGAGGAGCGGCATTGAAATGTGAGACCATATTTTTTACCACTGTAGCTTCCTCTAGTGCTACCATGCACAGTCTGGAGGTACAGACTCAGGGATGACCCCTGAGAAATGGGGTCTTCCCTTAGCCCAGCACCCATTTGAGCTCAATTTCCCAGTCAATATGTCTTGAAATAATGAATTTACTGATCAGATAAGGAGAAATTTTCTGACGGTGAGAACAATCAACCCATGGAACAGAAGTTGCCTTCGGAAGTTGTGGGAGCTTCATCACTGGAGGCTTTCAAGAAGAGACAGGACTGCCATCTGTCAGAAATGGTGTAGTAGGGTCTCCTGCTTGGGCGGGGGGTTGGACTAGATGACCTACAAGGTACCTATCAACTCTGTTAATCTAATAATTATAGCTTAATCATTTCATCAGCACTTGTTCTTAGAACATAGAATAACAGAGTTGGACGTGATCTTGGAGGTCTTCTA